TTATTTGTTTTAAGATATTCCTTTTATTTTTAAGTGCTCAATTCTCGACTCCGTTCCCGTTCGCCGGAGCTCGTAAATCTGGTGTGCTACAGATTTAGAGACGTTTGTCGTTGTATCTTTGGGGAAGTTACGCATGAACCGTTAGCTGCCACACGGGGCGTATTCTTCTTGCGGAAAGAGTTTTACTCGCCTCGGCTAAAATCTTTCCGTTTTTTCAGTTGTATTTTATTTTTCAGTTCAATTGTAATTTTCTATTTTTAGATTATTTGTAAGAACTGAAAATACATATCAGTTCGTAGGATTCCCGTGTAATTTTACACTCTATATCCAACAATCGCAAGAAGAATACTAGTCATCCTACTAAACTGATGGCATCCACCGGAGCAGGTTCCAGCTCTTAGCATCCAATCAATCATGTACTTGTTTTCCATGTTCCTACAGCTGAAAAGCCCGAAAAATTCAACGGGCTTGACTTTAAGAGATGGCAACAGAAGATGTATTTTTACCAGACCACTTTGGGTTTGGTGAAATACCTGAAGGACGATCCTCCGGTCATTTCGGAGAATGAGACCAATGCAGAACTACGCGTTGCGTACGATGCTTGGGGGCAAGGTGACTACCTTTGCCGTAACTATGTCCTGAACGGGCTTAGTAACGAGTTGTACAATGTGTACAACTCTGTTGTTTCTGCCAAGGAACTTTGGGCTGCCTTGGAGAAGAAGTACAAGACGGAGGATGCCGGAGCGAAGAAATTCGTCGTCGGCAAATTTCTTGACTTCAAGATGGTTGACACGAAGACTGTCGTGTCACAAGTGCAAGAGTTCCAGCTGATCTTGCACGATATCCATTCTGAAGGGATGGCTTTGAGTGAGTCATTCCAAGTAGCGGCTGTGATCGAGAAGTTGCCGCCAGGCTGGAAGGACTTCAAGAACTATCTCAAACACAAGAGAAAGGAGATGAGTCTTGAAGACCTGGTTGTTCGTCTTCGTATTGAGGAGGACAACCGTAATTCGTCGGGCAAAAGCCCGATAATGGAGGCTCGTGCGAACTTGCTGGAGCAAGGCAATTCGAGCAAAAGGAAGCCCCTTAACAAAGGGAAGCAGCCCGCCAAGATTTGGAAATTTACTGGAAATTGTTACAACTGTGGAAAGCCAAACCATATGGCAAAAGACTGCAAGATGCCAAAGAAAGTTGGGCCAAATAAAGGGCAACCGAGTGCCCTTGTTGCTGAACACGGCCCTGTGCCGGGTGAATTGACCGACTTTGATATGTCGGCGGTGGTGTTTGAAGCCAATTTGGTGGATAACCCAAGGGAGTGGTACATCGATACTGGTGCCACTCGTCATGTGTGAAACAAGGAGGTGTTCTCTAAATACACTCCTGCTGCGGGTCGGAATCTTCACATGGGAAACTCCTCCACGTCTGATGTGTCTGGAGTTGGCACAGTGGTGCTGAAGCTCACTTCTGGAAAAGAGTTGAAGCTTAAGGATGTTCTGCATGTCCTAGACATCCGCAAGAATTTGGTCTCCGGATCTCTTCTTGTTGAGCATGGATTTAGGCTGGTATTTGATGATAAGAAGTTTATTCTTAGCAAGTTTGGAAAATTCCTTGGTCGTGGTTATCTCGACAACGGATTGTTCAAAATGAATGTAATGGATGTAAGCCGTGTAACCGTTGATAATAAAAAGCCTATTTCAGTTTATACCGTTGAGTGCTCTGATTTATGGCATATTAGATTGGGACATGTAAATCTAAATGCAATTAAACGGTTGATGAAATTAGAATTAATTCCTAATTCTAAAGTTGAGACAAATACAAAATGTGAAATTTGTATTGAAGCAAAAATGGCTAAGTTACCTTTCCATTCAGTGGAAAGAAATATTGAACCATTAGGCTTGATCCATACTGATGTATGTGATATGAAAAGTGTGCAAACTAGAACCAGTAAAAAGTATTTTGTAACTTTTATCGATGATTGCACAAGGTTTTGCTACTTATATTTGTTAAGAAGCAAAGATGAGGCCGTGGAAGCGTTTAAGATATATAAGACCGAAGTTGAAAATCAACTCGGAAAAAGGATTAAAATAATCCAAAGTGATAGGGGTGGGGAGTATGTAGCTCCTTTTGAACAAATATGTTTTGAATATGGCATAATTCATCAAACGACAACCCTTATTCTCCACAGTCGAACGGTGTTACTAAACGCAAGAACCGTACGTTAAAAGAAATGATGAATGCCATGTTGATTAATTCAGGATTACCACAGAACATCTGGGGGGAAGCTGTTTTGACAGCAAATCATATCCTGAATAAAATACCACCTAAAGGGAAAGATGAGACTCCTTACGAAATGTGGAAAAATCGTAAGCCGTCTTATAAATACCTGAAAGTGTGGGGGTGTTTGCTAAGGTTTCAGTACCTGAACCAAAACAAATGAGAATCGGGCCAAAGACGATCGATTGTGTATTTATTAGATATGCGTACAATAGTACAACATATAGATTTCTAGTTCATAAATCATAAAATCCAGAGGTATCTGTTGGTACCACGATTGAGTCAAGGAATGCTATTGTAACACCCCAAACTCACGTCGTTCATTTTATGCTTAGTATTATTTTCATGGATATTATTTATGTTTAATTTAATGATTTATAAAGTTATTTTTATTTTTATTGTAAGCTCGATTTTATGTGATAATTAAGTGAGTGTCCACACTCATTTATTTATCAAGTTAATGATTAAAAAGAGAATTATTTAGATGTCCTCATCTATTTAATTTTTCTAAGTATTAATGCAATAATAATGATATAATTTTAATTATGAAATGGCTTAATTTAATTAATATAATTTTAATTTATTAATGAAGATAATAATTATTAAGATGATAAATTGAGCTCAAAATCAGTCCAATAACCCTATATAATTTCCCCTAAACCGTACATGTGAGAAAGAGGAAAAAACTTTTCTTTCCTACCAAGTCATAGTAAGATGGAAGAAAATCAAATGCCTTATCACATTAGGAGTCCTAAAGCCACTTCAAATCTCTTTAACCCCTTCCTATATAGAAGACCTTATACCATAAGAGATTAATCTTTTATGATCGTAAACACCTCCTCCTCTCAAAATCTCTTCCTCTCTAAAATCGTGCGAAAAAAAAAAGAACGGGTCCTTTTCTTTTCCTTTCACGAGCGAGCCTTCTTCCTTCCGACCAGCACCAGCCCCTCCCGCTCGCGACGACCAGCAGGTACCAACGACCACGTGAAGCACCAGCCCTCCCGCGAGCAGGAACCGGCAGCAACAAGCCACGCCCGACGATTCCCGCAAGCCTCACGTCAAGGCCCCGTGCACGAGCGAGTGAAGCCGAAGTCCCAAGCCGTTTCGTTTTCTCGTTCCTTGAGCGAGGTAAAACAGCCATGATCCTTTTCCCTCTGGTCGAGAATTATGAGTCTAATGTGAATTCTAAGAGATTGATAATCAAGAGGAAGAATTCTAATATTTTTTTAATTAAGGATTGATGACTTGGTTTGTGTATTATGTGCTTATGTTAATTGTATAGCATGAGTTGAGATTGATGATGGATTTTATGTGTTTAAAATGTGTTATTAAAATGTTTGAGTTCAAGTTCAAGGCTGAAGTGATGAGTTGAGGAGTTAAAAGTTTTATTGTTCAAATATGGTTGATGAATTCAGATTTCATGGCCTCTGTTGTGAGCCATTTTTGGCAATCATGAACTCGTTTCTTGGGAATGTGTTCTTCATGAGATATGTGGCAAATTTCGTTATGTTTCTGTAGGTTTTAAAATCTTGGGAATCGGAGTTCATATGGATTTTATATGATTTTTACAAGTCAGTTCTGCGTCCAGTTTTTCTAATATCGGGCTGTGTATAGGTGCTGAATGTATGACCTATTTTGATGAACCAATCGTGCTTATATGCAGTAGTTCTGAACATAAAAATTGTAGCTATCTGAGTTATGTTCTAGAGGAAGTTGGAATTTTTAAAAAAATGAGTTCAAATGAATTTTATGTGATTTTTACAAGTCGAGTTGGCATCCAGTTTTTACATAGCAGTGGCAGGTTAGGCATGTTGAATGTAGGATCAGTTTTGATGATGTTATCGTGCCCGAATGCTTAAGTTTTCTTCATAAAAAGTGTAACTCTACTTTTTTAGTTTCTGTAAGATGTGAGATTTCATGATTTAGAGTCTTCCAGCTCAAGTTATTGATGTTTTACTGAAGTTTTGTATGAATGAAAAGCTGGAAATGTGCTGTTTTTATGTCTGTGTTGTTTGTCTAATTTTACCTTTATGAACTGGTTTCTTGAAGGTGAGTTCTTCTGAAGAAAGTTAGTATTCTCTGTTATCTTTATGTGGCTGTTAGAATCTTAGAAAAATATATTTACTCGAATAAGTTATGATTTTTACAAAATTATTGCGCGAGCAGCTTTTCTTAAATCCGGCTGCAGTTAGGTCTGGATGTTTTGTGTGTTTATGATATGATAATGTGATCAAATGAACCTGAAGTCTTCATTGAAATTGTAGTTCTATATGTTACCTTTCATGTGGTTCTGGAAACAAGCATAAATATGGTCCGAGTGGTGAATGATACCTGTTTTCGTAAAACCGCGCATGAATTTATTTTAAAGTTCTGGACAGTATTTTAGCTTTGAATGTTTGCTGGTTTTGGACCATGTATATGACTTTATTTGCTTTTGAGTGCTAAATGAAAGTTGTAGGTGCATGTTTTAAGTTTTAAATGCCACTAGTTTCATGTTTATATCATTTGTGTACTAAAAACTATACTTGTTTTACTACTGCTGGGTATGCTGAAATTTCATGAACTAAGTGTGGTGATTTCATAAATGGTATATTCCTTCCTTTTTCTTTTATGTGATCTGTTTGAACCAAGATGACCTCTTTGAAGTTATCATGAATCTTAGATGCAATTTAAGTCTTTTAAGCAAGCTAAGTCATCAATCCGCCTAAGACATTAACTAAGAAGAGTTTTCAAGAGAATGCAAGCAAGGCGAAGCCAAGCGAGCAAAGTTTTTTCAAAAGCTTATGTATGATTATAAGTATAAGTATAAGAATAAGTTCCATGTTAAGATACTAAGACATGACCCCAATGGATGTAGTTTTATGAGGAGTCGAGCCCTCGAGTTTCGTTCAAAATCAAGTTCAAGTCTAAGTCGAGCATTCTACTGAAAAGGTGGGGGAAGTTCTACTTTATTAATCCTCTTTAATTATCTATGCTATGAATGAAGTTAAGTAGCTTGCATAGTACCCATGTTTATACAATGTTCCAACATTCGAGCAAGTCGTTTGTTGCAGTACCAAGGTTCACGGACTATAACTCTAGAGGGTAGCTAAGTGCTAGGGTTAGAGGGTGTAAGTGATTATGTGTAACCTTTGTTGGTGTACTCTTCGAACGGTTGTCCCCGTCGATAAGACTGTACGGAGCCTAGTGAAAGGCTTTCTTCCTTCAACCTATTGAAAGGTACTCTCATCAAGCCTATTTGGCCGTGCCATCTGCGAGAGGCATTGTTCTTCCACCACCATAAAGTGGTATTAGAAGTTTGATGAGTGGTGGGAGTGTGACAAGAATGTAATCACCTGCATGCAAAGGCTCTAGTGTTTAGTTGTCTAATAGTGTTTTAGAAGCAAGAAAGTCTTTCGACTTGTGGGTCACCACTCGTCGGGAGCTCATGATTATGTGGAGTATACAAAAAAACGATTTCATGCTTTATAGTTGATTAGGATGATAACGTAGAGGGATCTCTCACGGGGTAAGTGGAAATGCTCACCCCATTTGTTTTCCACACCCAGGTTTTTGGCGAGCTGGCAATGGAGCGATGGCGAGGGTGGTCACATGTTTTATGTTTATGATACTTATGTTTTAAAAGCTTCCGCTATGCAAAGTTTATTTTATGAAATAAATCATGGTTCATGCAAGTCAAGTTAAAGTATAAGTTCTCAAGGCAACGTCATGATATGTTCTATGTTCACGTATGAAATGTTAATGTTCATGAAAAGTTTTATGGTTATGAAAGGATTATGTATGAAACGTATTTTTTAAAGTAAGTAGCACCCTGAGTTCCAAGTAAAGTTTTAAAATGTCTTATAAAAAAAAAATTTATTCTAGAAATTCAATGTACGAAAAGCGGGGTGTTACAGCTATATTCTTTGAGAATGTTTTTCCTATGAAGGAAAGGGCAGAATCTAGTTCTAATAAAAGAACGTATGAAACTGCTAGTGGTTCTGTACCAGAGGGTACTAATGAAGAACCGCGACATAGTAAAAGGGTAAAAACGGCTAAAACGTTTGGACCTGATTTTATTACGTACATGCTGGACGATGAACCGGGTTCCCTTAAGGAAGCTCTGTCTAGCCCAGATGGACCACTCTGGGAAGAAGCTGTAAATAGTGAAATTGAGTCCATTATGCAAAATCATACTTGGGAGTTGGTTGATCTTCCTGATGGTTGTAAACCTTTAGGATGCAAGTGGATCATAAAGAAGAAATATAAAGCTGATGGATCGATTGACAAGTTTAAAGCACGTTTGGTGGTCAAAGGCTTTAAACAAAAGGAAGGGTATGATTTCTTTGATACCTATTCACCTGTTACGCGTTTAGCGTCGATAAGAGTGCTTCTCTCGATTGCTGCTTTGCATAATCTTGAGATTCACCAAATGGATGTCAAAACGGCATTTTTGAATGGTGAAGTGGAAGAAGAAATATACATGGAACAACCTGAAGGGTTTGTTGCACCTAGACAAGAGAGAAAGGTGTGTAGATTAATCAAATCCTTATACGGACTGAAACAATCTCTGAAACAATGGCATTTGAAATTTGATGATGTGATGTTGTCAAATAAGTTCAAAATCAACGAGTGTGACAAATGTGTTTATGTCAAGAGTGCATCAAATACATTTGTGATTGTATGTCTATATGTAGACGATATGTTGATCATGGGGAGTAGCCATGAAGTGATCATGGACACGAAAAGAATGTTGAAGAGAAACTTCGACATGAAAGATATGGGTTTGGCTGATGTTATTCTTGGAATAAGGATTATCAGAACCCAAGATGGAATTGTCTTGTCACAATCTCATTATGTAGAGAAAGTGCTCAAGAAATTTGATGTCTATGACGGTGCACAGTCTAGGTATATGTGTAAGACACCCCTTGATCTCAGTATAAATCTGGTAGTCAATAAAGGTCAACTAGTGGCTCAGTTAGAATATTCACGGATAATAGGGAGTCTGATGTACTTGACGAATTGTACAGGACTAGACTTGGTCTATCCGGTGAATAAGTTGAGCAGATTTACGAGCAATCCCAGTCATGAGCACTGGAATGCTTTGAGAAGGGTACTTAAGTACTTGAGGTACACCCTTGAATACGGGCTAAAATACTCGAGATACCCAGCTGTACTTGAAGGGTACTGTGATGCAAGCTGGATATCAGATTCGAGAGATTCTCGCTCCACTAGCGGATATGTTTTTTGTATTGGAGGAGGTGCAGTTTTGTGGAAATCCACAAAACAAACGTGTATAGCTCGGTCAACGATGGAATCGGAGTTCATCGCTTTAGATAAAGCTGGTGAAGAAGCCGAGTGGCTTAGAAATTTTTTATCCGATATTCCATGTTGGAATAAGACTTTGCCGCATGTGATGATTCACTGTGATAGCCAAGCTGCTATTGGTAGGGCGCAAAGCAACGTGTATAACGGTAAGTCTAGACATATTCGTCGTAGACATAATATCGTACGTCAATTGATCACAAATGGTATTATTTCCATTGACTATGTGAAGTCTAATGAAAATTTGGCTGATCCTTTGACGAAAGGATTGAATAGAGATCAATTGACAGTTTTGCTAGAGGGAATGGGTTTAAAAATCCACAATGTAAAGAATGATCATAGTGGTAACCCTACCATGCTGAGTGGAGATCCCACAAACTTGGTTCAAAGGGAAAACTAAGCTATGAAAATTCAGTCGAGCACTTGGAACATATGAATGTCCAAAGCTATTCCCTACAGCACACCAAGTGCAAGATTACCTGTTGATTGTGGTAAGGGTAAGTCATTTGGACTTTTAATGAATCCCTAACCTTGTAAAGGTGGAGTATTACAGGATACTCTTGATAGGGAGATCACCTATATAAGTGTGAAGTATGGGCCGCTTCAAATGTAAACACTTATGAATCCATTGTGTTGTCCATGGCCAAAACGGACACAACGATAGAACGAAATGAAGTTAAGACTCTATTGTGTGAATGTCATTGTCTAGGTGTAAACTATGGAGGAATAGGCATTATGTCCATTAGGCCGCCAGTGCATTCGATGATGTTTACTAAGAAAGATTTAAAGCCAAAAGCTACTTTTTCTGATGCGATAGAGTTTTGTGAGGATTGAGCACAAGAGTTTGTATATATGTGTGTTTCTTTACTTTCTCTTTTGTAGGGGATTGTTAGAAAAAAGGATTAGTGGGGCGGTGCATCTCAACCACATGCCCACCGCCCCCAATCATTTCTCCATTTGAATTAAAAAAAATAATTATTAAAAATTGCAAGTGAATTGCAATTTGCAGGCCAACTTGTGGCCTCTGCTTTCCTATAAATAGAAGGTCCGACAGAAGAAGAGAAAAGATGCACCAAATAGAGGAAAAGAAAGGAAAGAAATGAAAAGAGAAAGGAAAGAAAAGATAGATTTATGTCCAAATATCGGATATAAAAATATCAAAAGAGAGAAACAAATGATATTTTTATTTGTTTTAAGATATTCCTTTTATTTTTAAGTGCTCAATTCTCGATTCTGTTCCGGTTCGCCGGAGCTCGTAAATCTGGTGTGCTACAGATTTAGAGACGTTTGTCGTTGTATCTTTGGGGAAGTTACGCCTGAACCGTTAGCTGCCACACGGGGCGTATTCTTCTTGCGGAAAGAGTTTTACTCGTCTCAGCTAAAATCTTTCTGTTTTTTCAGTTGTATTTTATTTTTCAGTTCAATTGTAATTTTCTATTTTTAGATTAGTTATAAGAACTAAAAATACATATCAGTTCGTAGGATTCCCGTGTAATTTTACACTCTATATCCAATAAAAAAAATTATGAAATTGTCCTTTTGCCAGTTCTTTAAACGTTTATAATGTTATAAGCTTATTCATTTGTAATTTATTTTATATGAAACAATGTTATTTTTTTTCCCTTGATATATTTGCGATTGAAGTCTATATATGTCGGGGAGAGAGCGAAACTGCGGTTCGTGTACATTAAGAACTGACTTGATTTTACTTAACTTACATTATCATTGATTATCTCTATCTATAAGTTCAGGTTAATGATAAAATATCTCTGTCTATGTATAAATGGAGATACGTTTTTATAGAAAGTTATCAGTATGTCACAAATTTGGACATATTGCCTTTTTGCAGTGTTCATCAGCAGACTCAATACAATCTACAGCTGCTACCCATCTGGTTTTAATGATTTATTTGACCCACCAACGTTGTTTGCTGACAAAATCCGGCCAAGCCAAGAATCGGACGGCGATTTCAACAGAGGCGGAGTCCCATTAACAAATAACTCACACTGCTTTTCCACATTCTTGCTGCTGCTTTCCCTTTCAGCCAATAGTTGAGTATTTGAATTTATGTTCAAACTCTGTGTATTGTTCGCCTTATCACAAGGATCGCCCAATAGTTGCTCAAAAGTTACTCTATTTGATCCGCTTTCCTCGTTCTTCTTCCGTGCATTTTCCCTGCAGCTGTTGAGGAGGAGAATGTATTCGAATCTTGAAAGCGTGTTGAGCGCGTCTGCAAATGCTCTGTCATTCGAATCGCAGTTCTTTCTCTCCTGCGAGTTGCGCTTATTATTATCCTCCTCGTTTTCTCTTGCTTTCCCAGGACTTTTTTCCCATAGGAAAGGGACTTCCCCGGCAATTTTAACAGGATGATCAATGCTGGTGGGGTTGTCGATTTTGGTACGATCGAGTTTGATTGACGAGTATTTTCTAACCGATAAAATAGGCCGGTCCAGGTTCAGTTTCTTCTTCTCTGACATACTCTTCTGCAACATACAACAGCAACAAATAAAAAATAGACTACTCTTCGAGCTATATGATCAACCTAACAGGAACAAAAGGTAGAAACTTTAAAATCTG